ACACACACACACACACACACACACACAAATAAATAAATAATTTAATAAAAAAATAATAATGAGGGAGAGCATGATATTCCAGGAGCATGTTATACACAGAAGAGCTCCCCGATCTGTGGGCCTAGATCCAATTTCTCCAGTCAAAACCAACTGAGGTTGAGTCTTGGCTCTGCCATCTGCATCTGCTTACTGCACTTACATCTGGGCAAGTTGCTTCCCTTAAGTCTGTCTCCTCATCTTTCGAATAAGAGAATGATAAAAATAGTACGTGCCTCACAGAGCTGCTGTGAGAACTAAATGAGATCATGCTTTCGGGTGCTCAGGGAGTGCCCTGTGCACACATTAATTCCTTTATTTTTCAGCTTTAGAACTCTCCCCATTAAACCTGTGCGCCAATCATGTATCACCTGCTTGTTTCAAGCTCAATATGCCACACCTCTTAGGTATCATCAAGAGATTTAAAAATATATATACAGTGTGGAAGCTGGAATCTTTGTGGCTCTTACCCAGACAACCCATGGGGGCTTTGAGCTGCTGGGAGGGCTGCTTGCCTGAGAGGGTCCAGGGGGTGCGGACCAAAGGTGTCTGGGGGCTGAAGTAGCTCACAAGCAGGCTGCTGCAGTGGCTAACAGAGTGATGGGAACTAAGAGCCAGGTTTAAACAGGACACTGGCCTTCCCTGGTATCCCTGCTTTTAACAAGGACTGCTGTACAATGGCTTAGAAGCAGGTCACTCTCCGAGAAGCAATGAGTAATTCAAGTTGTGGTCCTACATCTTTCTGGTCTTTGTGAGGAAGAGCAGACAGGCATCATAGGTTTCTACATGAAAAACCTGGCTAGTTGGTTGGTCTCACTGGTCCAGGAAGGAGGAGCAGGTAGAAGCTGGACTGTTCCATCCCCTCCCTCTGATTCCCACTGTACTCTTCCCAACAGCCTGACTGGAAGCAGGCAGGAAGTCCCAGGATGTGCTCAAAGCATGCTGGCCATTCACTCACAAGTGTATTTGCCAATTAGGCTAAACAGATGGAGTTCATCTATGAGGAGACCCCATCTGGGTCTACCTGGTTCTGTATACAGCAAAACCCTCCTCATAACCCTGTAGCCCAACAAGATGCGGGAGAGACCTGGGCCCCTGTGGAAGGGAGAAGGCACGGAGAAATTATTCAGGGTTATAGTTGGGTGCTGAAATGCGGTAAGATGTCCTCCAAAGTGTCCATTTAGAAATGCATCTCTGAGGGCCGGCCAGATAGCTCAGCGGACTAAAGCGCCTGCTTAGGCAGAGCACAGGGGCTCGGGTTCCATCCTCAGCATGCTGTGCCAGCCCCAACCCCGGGGCTTGCTGAGACAGCGATTGAGACTGGGTGTGGTTGCGTGCGCCTGTAATCCGAGCGCTTGGGAGGCTGAAAACAGGAGAATCACTACAAGTCTCATTTGTGTAGTGAGACCCTGTACTAGATACATTTTTTTAAAAAACCCAAACAATTTAGAAATGCATCTCTGAGCACAGCTGTGGGCCTCTACTGAAAGCCTGGAGTGTTGGACTTGAGGTATGCTGGAGGGGGCAGGGGGATAGCAGTGGCCTTGACACACAGTGCAAGCCCGAGCAAGGTTGGTGTGCAAAATCCAGAGAGCACTCAGCCCTAGTGTCGCAGGTGGGCACAGACTCCTTGCTGCCCTCCTTCGCAGGTGGTCTCTGTGCCACCAAGCCAGCCAAGCAGCCCGCCTTGCCCCAGGTTCTCGGCAACCCACGCCCAGTGGCCCCCTGTGAGGCTCCTGGCTGTACTGACCCCGCTCTCTCAGGCAGGGGCATCCCACGGAAGCATGAACCTTGCTGTGACTTTTCCCAGCTCCCAGTTTGAGGGTGCATGATCATCACTTTGGTACAGGCCTTGCAGAGGTCTCTTATAACCCCCGAAGCTCCCGCTTTTTCCTCCGCTACTGGTGCCCTGGAGTCGTGCAATGCACTTGCCCACATCGGCAACACTGATCACAGCAAGGGGCAGTCCCAACACCCAGGGCCTTCGGAAGTTGCTGGCTCAGGGGCTCAGCTCCACCCTCCCTGCTTTATCTCTTAAGCCAGCTTGGTCTGCACCATTATTTTATTTTCACCATTATTTTATTTTCACCATGCTAAGAGTCCTGATTTTAGGAGGCATAGGACCTGAAAGACAACGTACAGTCCCCTCCTCTTCCTGAGAGGTGAGATGGCCTGGCCAGGTCATCCCTGAGATGCCACCCGCCTCCTTGGAAATAGGCTGTAACTTTGTTGTGTTGGAACTTTATAATGGTGGAAAAGCCACACAGCAACATAGGCAAGTGAGGGACAAAAGAAGCACTAGCCATCACACTGTCCCCAGCTCAAGTCCCACTTGGCAAGGATCCCAAGTCTTGTCATGGGGAGTGACCTCTTCGGGTACCCATAGTACAGTCATCAAAAACAGCAGGTATAGCACATGCCTAAGACCACCTTGCATCGCAGTGACTGGTCTCGGTGCCTCATCTCCCCTTTAATCTACAAGTTCCTTAAATCAGAAATGTGCACACTTCCACTGAATTAAGGAAGCAAGCATGCATTGAGTAACCAGTATCCATTTGCCGAGCTATCAGCATGCTTGTGTACAGACTCGTTTTCTTAAGACGCTTACAGGGTGGTAATGAAAGAGATAACTAAAATATATCCATCAGATTAGACAAATGTTACAAGAGAAAGCAGCAGGGGGGGTGGTCACTGCCCCCAAGGTGAGCATGGTGGGAGCACAGGCAGGGAGGATGAGTGAGCGGGTAGCGGTAGCTAGGCCACAGAGGAACAGACAGGGCTGTGGCTTTTGCCCTGTACTAAGAGCAGCCTCTGCAAGTTCTCAAGCAGCTGGGAATATGGACGAAGGCTACAACACTAGTGACTGGGGAATCAGTATGGAAGTGATTGCAGTTGTACTGCTGAAAAGTGGGGGTTTTAATCAGGGTGGTGCTGGTAGGAATGCAGAGAAATAAATTTAAGATGTCACCCTGACAAGATTTCAAGCAAGGGATGTTCTGGGTTGATCCTAGGTACAGATTTAGGAGGTAGGTGTTACAGATGGAGAACAGTGCTTTAGGAAAGGGTGCCCTGGCCCCCAAAATGGATCCTTAAAGGTCACACAGGCACTTCCATATCCATAGTCCCTAAATTGCACATGCAAGGATGTGTGTGCTAGTGTGTCGCTTCTGGGCAGAGCCCTTGCATTTTTCCAGTTAACAACCCCCACTATAGTCACACAAGAGAAGAGTTGGTAACGCAGTGTTAGAGAAGTACTGATACCTATGGGTCAGACAAAAGAAAAGGAGTGGGCTTGGGGCAGGTGGAGAGGACTGCCTCATTTATGATTTCTTCTTTCTTTGGGAGCTGTTGAACTATAAGATTAAACCTTATAGACGTTTTCCTTTGATTTGACTATTATGAATCAGATTAGCCTGGTCTGGAGTCTTACCGCTAGATCTTTCTAGCTCATTAAAAACCTTAACCTGGGCTGGAGAGATGGCTCAGTGGTCTAAAGCACCTACTTGAAACAAGCTTGGCAAAGCACAGGGACCGCAGTTCGATCCCCAGCACCACATGCCAGCCAGACCCGCCCCCTGGTGGGCTGAGCTGGCCACACACACACACAATAAATAAATGTAATAAATAAAAATAAATAAATA